CATTGTTTCGATTGTTAATAATACTATAATTTATAGCATCTTTGAAAATTGTAACTATGATCTATAATATAGAGTGAAAAATATATGATTAAATATTAGTTTTATTGTATTTATTAAAATTAAGGAAAAATATAATTATGCCGGTAATTTTTTTTTTAGCGATTTTGATATGAAAATAATTGAACTCTTCTAATAATCAAGTTTAGCTTACCTGATTAACATAAATATTTTTGATATGAAATTTATTGCGGCCATAGAATGTAACAGAGACTATCAAATATGTAGTTCAAAAAAGGCGCGTAAACGCGTAACGTCACTGATGTGAAGTTGTCTGTATATTTTGTTTCATTAGTTATGTCTACAGGGTCTATGTCTTTATGTTGTCACAGTGATCCTCTCTGTGTTTTGGCTGCTTAATGCCGGTTCTTTGCCGTTCACGAAGATCATTGTTTGATACATAATTATTTTATTTGGTTGAAGAAGCTGTGCAGTGTTGGAATTGAATTTAAGGAAATAATATGTAAGAGCAGTTTACAATTAGTATTTTTATTATCTGTGCACGGTTAGTCTTTTTATAACTAGTATGTTTAATCGATTCAAGATCCATTTATTTCAAACACGTTTTTTTATTTAAAACGCGGGATTAAATTTAGAGCGGTATAGAATTAGATTGATTTTGTTTTCATGCAAATTATTTTGTTTTTAGTTTAATACATTTTTAAAATGGACACAATGGAAGTTACGAATACCGACTTAAATAATAAAAATGATGAATGCATAAAAAAAGACAAAGTCGATAACGTCCCTGCCGAGGAGATGACATCGCGGGATTATTACTTCGATTCATACGCACACTTTGGAATTCACGAGGAAATGTTAAAAGATGAAGTCAGGACGTTATCCTATCGAAATTCAATGTATCACAATAAGCATCTATTCAAGGGCAAGGTAGTATTTTATTCCTATTCAGTAGTGCTAATGCTATTGCTTTTTACTAAATTATATTTTTTCCTAGGTGGTTTTAGACATTGGCTGTGGAACTGGAATTCTCTCAATGTTTGCGGCAAAAGCAGGAGCGAGTAAAGTCATCGCTATTGAATGTTCAAATATCGTTGAATATGCACAAAAAATCGTTGATGCCAATAATTTGTCTCATATTGTTACAATAGTTAAAGGCAAAGTTGAGGAAGTTAGTCTACCCGATGAAATTGAAAAAGTCGATATCATCATCTCCGAGTGGATGGGGTTTGTATATTGTTTTTTGCTATTACATATATGTGAATATTCATAATTTAGTACTTAGTACATAATTTTTTGGTTAATTGTATTAATTTTTTTCATTAATGTCCATCTAGATATTTGTTTCATGTGTTCATAAGCATTAATTTATTTCAGATACTGCCTGTTCTATGAATCAATGTTAGATACTGTTTTACATGCTCGTGATAAGTGGCTCAAACCCGACGGTATGTTATTCCCAGATAAATGCACTCTATATGTAACAGGTATAGAAGACAGACAATACAAAGATGAAAAAATCAATTGGTGGGATGATGTTTACGGTTTCGATATGAGCTCTATTCGAAAAGTTGCAATTAGTGAACCTTTAGTTGATGTTGTTGATCCAAAACAGGTATAATACCTACATTTAATATTGTATTGTATATAATGCAAGTTAATAGATTTAATTACCCTATAATATTCAATAATTTAATTTAATTACCCTATAATATTTTATTTATGTACAAGTTTATGTATTTCAGTTGAAGTCTGATTAACAATTTTCAATGCATAAATTGTTTACATCTGTATATTTAAACATGCTTAAGTCGAACAAAACTAGTTAAAAAAATGTGTATATGTATAGCTGTCTCAGTGTTATTGATAGTAATGAATTTCTTTTTTAGGTTGTTACAAATGCTTGCCTGCTGAAGGAGGTTGATTTATACACAGTTAAGAAAGAGGATTTAGATTTTACTGCATCATTTGTCCTGCAAGTTCGAAGAAATGATTTTGTTCAGGCTTTGGTTACTTATTTTAATGTGGAATTCACAAAATGCCACAAACGGTTAGGTTTTAGTACTGCTCCAGAAGCACCATACACACATTGGAAACAAACTGTATTTTATTTTGATGATTACATGACGGTGAAGAAGAATGAAGAAATTTATGGAGTTTTTCAGATGAAGCCAAATGCTAGGAATAATCGTGACTTGGATTTCAGCATAAAGTTAGACTTTAATGGTGAATTATGCCAAGTGCACGAAGAAAATCACTATAGAATGCGCTAAGCTTTATTTTTATATAAATTCCTAATAAGGTTTTATACAATGTATTAAGAATAACATATGATTTACATCAATCTCTTTGCTATTTAAGGACGAGTTTCATTAGTCTCTCGGCTTTGAAATTCAAATTTTACTCAAAATTGTATATGTTACTGATAAGTAAATGTATTTAATTTAATAAAATTTTCAATTAAGCTAAGTACTGTTCTTATTTCTGTGTGAAATAAAAATTTCAGCAATTACAAAGCTATTTAAAAAAATAGTAATAAATAATAAATGGTTAACATATATTAATTTAGTAACAATATTAAATGCAATAAGCTGCATTTAGACAAGTATTTTTTATAGAACAGCATTAATTTCCAGTTTTTGTGAAAAAAAATGACTAGTTTATGTTTCAATTTATTCTGAATTTTAAAAATTTGTATGTGAGCTGGTTTTCGGCCTTTTGTCAACAATCTGTCTTCAATTGATTTTAAAAATTTAAAAATGGTTCAAAAGATATTGATTGGGAATCGCGTTGATTAGTTTCTTCATGAATAACTGTTGAAAAAAAAATGATGGTTTTGATAAAACTTTGTATTGTGATAAATTTTAGTCTGAAATAATATACTAAAATATTATAAGCCTACAATAAATGGTTGATAAATTAAAATTCGCTAAAGTTTCGTGTATATGTAGGTTTTGTGTACCGTGTATAGCTAATGATTACAGCTGACGCCCCCATTTAAATAAAATAAATCTTTAAAACCTGAAATGAATGAAATAAAATGTTTGAAAAATTAATTTTATTTATATAATTAGAGATATTATAAGTATGTTTGCAATACATTAATTGAAAAACGCATTGATTAATTTTTAGTGAAATCAAAAATTTTATTTTCGAAATAAACAGTTGAACATTTTACCTAAATAGTTGAATCAATCTTAAATCTTATTGATTTAGGCAGAATGCGACTACAACTGGGTTCATTTTTAATTTTTAATTCTGCAGTTAAAATCTACTATAGTACAAATATATTATATTGTCTTGTCTAGGATATATATAGTAATAGTATTTATTTTGGTTGAGTAGTCATTCGAAAGATTAGGCCAAATAGCATTCAGATTTTGAGGTTATGCTAGATTTAAGACAGCGGTGAGTGAAGGTTCTTTCAATGCATTATATTGCTTTCGAGGCAATTAATATTTAACAGTGGTGATAGATAATGAATTATTTTCATAATATTGTTCGCAAAATTGCATTATCTAATAAATTCAACTGATAGTTTCATATTTTAGGTTATTTCACCTTAGGATTTAATTGGTTCACAAAATATTGACAGGTTACTGTAATATTGTGTTGATTTTTATATTTTTATAAATATAAATAACATTAACAATTATAAATGCTAATATCTATCAATAATTGTTTTATTATTATTTGCAAAAGCACTTAATTTGAGACTGTTTGCTTAGCCTACATATTCAGTGTATTAAAGTCATAATTATTTCAGAAAATGCGTTTGATAACAGTTCTTCGTGCCCAACATTTGGATCGTATGTTTAAAAAGCATTGGGTTATTCAAGGCCGCCGAAAAATAATAGAAACTGGGGCAGAAGCAGCACTCACCGCCAAAGGGATACCTGTTATTGATGCAAGTGAAGCCATAAAAGAAAAAAGGCAAATAGAAAAGTATGTTGTTGTAATCAACAAAACTATTATTTCTGTCGTTACTGTTATAGTTGCTACGCACAAGTATTTTATTTTGAATTTTAATATCTATTGCATTAGCTCTTTGAAGTGTATTTCTCTTTTTAATTGTATTGTCTTTCATGATTTCAAGTGGGCAATTTTATCAAATTCATATTCAAGCCCTCTCATTGTTTTGAAATTATGTGATAATAATTAAGATAAATAGCTTTTAATATACAATTAAATAAATTAATTAGGTTGCGTTTGATTTATAATATCTTAAGCACAAGTATATTATGGTAAACAAAAATAAATATAACACGGTGTTATTAATAATGTCTTGCATGTATTGTAAGCAACCTTAAATTTTCTACACTGAAATATAATAAATGTGAAAAAGAAATGTATCAAAACATCCAACAGAAAATGACAAATGTTATTGCAACTTTTTTGTTTAATAATTATTGTAATGTATAATATTTCGATTACATTATATTTTGTTCTTTACAGAATAGATGTGATTGGTATAATTCCAAAACCAATAGCATTTGATGAGACTCATCCAAATTATCACGAAAGAAAGTGCCATTTCTTTAGAGATCACAATGTTCTCTTAGAAGGAGTAAAACAAAGTTTGGTTGTAACAAAGTCTATACAGCTGAAAGAAAATTCCTTACCAGAACATTTAGAAAATGAAATCAGTAACACTGAGGTTCCAAACCGTGTACATGACTTAGTTAAAAGAGCTATTTTTAGTGCTAATGTATTTGATACTGAACAAGAAAAGTTACCTAAAGTTACTGATCCTTTGAGACCAGCTTTTAATTTTCCTAGGCGACTTGGAATATCAGATCATAGGAGAAAGTAAGTTCTAATAAGACAAAAAAGAATAAAAAACTTTTTGTCTTGTATTGTTTATATTGATTTTTTTGCATTCAATTTGATTTATTACATTTTGAATATTTGTGTTTAATAATTAATTGAATGAATGAATTGTTTTAATGAAAATTCATAATTGTTTTATTTTTTAGCTTCATATTATCTTCCAAGCTGTTGAGAATTTGTGAAATGAGTTCAAATATTTTTTCGGAACGTAATGTTTTAAAAAATGCATATTTTTCTCTATGTTTGGAAAAGGATTCTGACTTAATTCAATTTGAAATAAATGCTGAAAATTTTGTTATTACGGATAAACCTTTGAAACCTGTTGTAAATGATGTGGCAAAAACAGAAGCGATCGAATTGTATAATATGTTTCCAATAAAGTCAACAATTACAATGCCGCAGGAAAACATTTATGAGTTAAATGATGTTTATCGTGAGTAAATTGAATGACATAACTTTTCATATTCTAAATTAATATAATATTGTATAATTTTGTCTTTAATTTCAATAATATTATAACAAATATTCCTCATTATTTGGATTAGTACAATGTTCTCTTAGTTTATTGTACATTGTGCGATTTACATTGCGCAAGATAATAGAATTAAATTTATGAGGAAGCTATTTGTAATATAAGCAATTTCAATGTGCACTTTCAAAATTAAACTCATGTTGATGATATTTGTTATAGCTTTAACTCAAGTAGCAAAAATGGATGCACCTCATACAATATTGTTAAATTTTACTCCAACATATGTTCATAATTTATATGAAACACCCGTAACAACAGACCAGACATTAGGAAGATCTATGATAAAAAGTTTTACGATAGCTGCAGCTTATGCCAAGAAAAAATATGGGGTATGTTTGAATTAGTTTTATTACCATATTTTTTAATTGAAATTAAAATGGAATTTTGTACTTTGTTTCATACCTTCTAATTACAAAGGAAACTCTCAAAGGGCTTTTAGACCTTTCGATAAAACTATTTATGTATGAATTTATTTGCATTTATGAAAAAAAGAAATGGTTTAAATTAACTGAAATTTTACATATAAATAATATTTTTTTAAAGGATGCTGTAGAAATTTTGCCTCAACCTATAACTGTTCAGTGTATACAAACCGATGGACGGTTGTTTGACTTTTCAGTATTTCAATTAAATACATTGAATATAAATGGGAATGAAGGAATTAAAAATATATGGTATCAAACTGAACAAATGCCATTATACAATATTTGTACATATGAGAAAGGAGTTCCTGTTCTTGAAGAATATAATCCTGAAATTATTAAATATTTACTTACGTTTTATAAAAATCAATAAAAGATGAATTATTAGTACAAATTTTATTTCTTCTTATTCTAATTTTGTATTCATATTTAGCCATAAATAGATTGATAATTTGTCATCACTCATAAAAATATTTTTTATACTGAATTACTTTATAATTATATGTGTATTAGTAGCATTGGGGCTTGCTATAAGCATTGGATTTGTGGAATGAATCGTTATTGGTAAATCCCAAACCATAGTTTCTATTGGTACATTTTCTGGTGCTCTCCAATCCATTATGGTTTTAGAAGGCAATTTCAATTCTGGACTTGAACTTGTAACAAATTCAAAGTGAAGTCTCCACTTTAAGGTAACTGTAATTGATAATTATAATGTAACAAAATTATTGATTGTTATTAAAATAATAATATCAGTCAAAAGAAAAAATCAACTTCCGGCAAAGAATTTTGTAATAACATAACCCAGACCATCGAAGTTGTTAATTAAGATAACTAAAATAGGAAGAAATGAACATACAAACCTAAAGATGTTTCAAAACACGGAGTTACATGTAAAGGTATAGGAAGTATGAGCTGAGTATGCGACAATCCAATACATACTTCATTATGTCTGTTATATGTTACAATTTTTCCTGTAGTTGCCTTGGATTCTGTTTTAGAATTTTTCAACACTTCTTCACATTGAAGAGAAACTGATATCTGAAATATTTGAATTATTTAAGTGCAAGATTCACTAGTGCAAGACTTAATTTGAAAGAAATAGTTTATATCTTCACCTGCATACATGGTACAACAGCTACTGAGAAATCAAAAGCACCTACAATATCTTCACCCAATTTATAAGCAGGTTTGAATAAACAAAATCGGCATACATGGCCATTATTATTAGTAATCATATAAAAATTTGGACTTCTGCGGGCCGTGATATTCTAGAAATTTCAAAATGAATTACTCAAACTCAAAAATTTATATCTAATCCATAGATAAATAAAATAATATGGTCTATCATGCTTAAAGTCTTAATTTATTTCTCAATTAATTGTGTATGTATGAAACAAATAATTTTAAAAAACAATCTCTTTTAGGAATAAGGATAGAATTTGATTAAAACACTAACTTGTAAATTTTCAATGGCAATCTCCAATGGCGAATCAGTTTTCTTGGTTTCAAGAAATGGATTAGTTCTTGTAAGCTCTTCTGAAGTATCATTGCATAAACCTAAACCATCCAGAGGAGTATTAACTGAACTCAATGGCAGCACACGAAATGGTACTTTCACTAACTTAACATTTGAATTTACTCTTTGAGTTCCTATTAAAACTTTATAGGAGTACTTGACCAATGAGCCTCTGTAAGAAGGAGGCGAGTCAATTGGTATAACTTCATTGTAATAATCTGCAATTAGTGTAAAAGTAATTCGATCACTGATAGAGTAGGTGTGATTGTGCTATGGATAAATAAATTTTTGTTTCAAATTCGGAAGTAATTAAAATTCCAGGCAACTTGAAACTGAAACAAACTTAATTCTTTATACACTAAAGAATTTTTATCTTCAAAGATTATGTATATTATTAACTACTTTTTTTTAGGAATGATATCATCACAAATTATGCATATAAAATAATCATTGGTCATGAAGAGAACAAAACTTACATTTTATGGATTCTCCAGGTGCTAAAGTTAAATCACAAAACAAAATCTTAGGCTTTGTTGATACAATAATCGAGTCATTATTTGAGTGCAGTGTTTCTAGGGACGTGCCGCTATTGATTACCACGGTGTTATTAGATACAGAATTCAATGTAGGACTTTTATCAGTTGCGCAGTAACATTGAATTTGAGCAGAAGCCCACGCCAAGTTCTCCACAGAAGCACTATTGTTAAAATACATAAACTTAGTTTTTGAGATTTTATTTATTTTATGAGAACATTCCAACAATACCTATGGCCTTGTAAATGATCGGGTGTAGAAGGATTTTTTATTATAATCACACATTCGATGACTTCTCCGACCAAATAAACAGAACTGTTTCGTATTAGAGTAGCAATTATTTCTAACATAGTAACAAAAATAAATACTGATAAATGATAAAATATTGCTTTACATAACTATAATTTAGTGTGACAGTGTACGTTATAAATGTGTAAACTAAATATTAAGTAAAAATGCCCCATTAAGTATAGTTGAATAATTTTGACAACTGACAGATAACCTCTTCTCATAAATGTGCCAACCTTTCCCAAAACGACATCAGATTCCCGAAAGATGTTTTCTTCGTTTACCAAAAAATAGTATGTAGTGCTTGGACCGCAGTTTATAGTAAACGCTATTGGCTATAACGCTTTTGTAATAAAAGGTAAAATATAATATTCCTCCATAAAATTGAGTACGTCTTCCTAAACTTGCCAGTTGCGTATTGACAGTTCTATACATCAGTATCAGTAAGAATATATACCGCTCCTAAAAAGGAGTATTATTTATCTTTCAATCTCTGCATAAATCTTATAATTTACAGATCCTCGTTAAATTTGGAGTTGCATCAATTCGTAAATTGTTTTGTATTACACAGGTAAAAAGAATTAATTTAGTTAAAGGTAGATCCACCTGTTGAAATTTTTAGAGAACTATTTGATCTTGACTACATTCACTGAAAATGTACGGCAATATTTTCAAACCTATGGTTGAGCGTTAACTGTTACTATGAATAAAGACATTTTGTAAATATTATATAATATAATACTAACTAGTGGGGTGCATGGCATTAAGGCAAATTGCTGGAACTTCCCGTACCGCAATTAAAAGTCTTGGTGCGCAACGCAAAAAAAAAATTACACAAAATGTGTACACATTATTAAAATATCTATAACATATCTGATAATTTGACATACATATGTCCAATAAATATTTTTGACCGCCAAATGACATTTTTTAACTTATTTTTATTGAGACTCTATAACCGCTGGACCTGCATTCCCAAAAATTTAATCAGTTCTTCATCTTGTCAATACAAGTAAAATGTTTTTTTAAATTATTAAAATTGGATGCTCCATTCTCTTAAAAACTGAGTCACCGTTTTTGGCACTTTTTGCTCCATATCTTCGGAACGGCTAGACCTGCCTTCGCCAAACAAATCTGCACGTCTCCTTATCAATACAAATCGAATGTTTTTTTAATTATTCAAATGAGTTGATCGGTGTTCCCGAAATCGTCGACGAAAATTTGTATCCGCACACACACATACATAAATTTTTCTAAGGTATGCTAAAATATTCAGAAACCTTTGAAACGTAAATATATATAAAAATTTTCATTTTCGATTTTTTTTGAGATTACTGTAACTTACCCTATGGGAAGTTAAATATAATTAATGCGCGCATACTTACATTGACAACAATTTCTGGTGAATGCAATAAAAAATAATAACGTTTATTAAGTTATCTTAAAGTTCAGTATATCAAAATTATTTAGCCTAGACAATATAATAATGATTATTTAGTACCATGCGTTGTGGTTTATATTAACTTAAATAATAAAGCTCTTATTATTAAAATAAATGCGTATTTAATTTTCAGTATTTATTGGATTTATATTTGAGTAAATTCATTGTACTTTTTGTTTCGATTGTGCTGTGTTTATAATCATTCATCGTTTTCCACATGGTTTCCAACAGTTGATTCAATTGTTAATATAGAATTTAGTAAAATTCAGTGGGTCATCTTTTATTTAACGATCAAAATAATAAACTAGTTGTAATTAGCATTTTGCCTTAAGGCAAGTTCCATGCACTTTCCGATACGTATATATAATCAACTTAATCAATAAGAACGGAGATTTAGGTCTATTTAAAAATTAATTTAAATTATAAGTAAAATTATATATTTAATTAGGTAAAGAGTATTTTGGGTAAAATGTTCAACTGTTATTTTGAAAATAAAATTTTTGCTTGCACTAAAAACTCATCAACGCGATTTTCAATAGATGTCTTTCATACATACATACCGTAATTGTATAAAATAAGTTAATTTGTTTAACACATTGTATTTTACCTATTTTGTGTTCAAAAAATGTATTTTATTAAAGTATGTATGTCAACTGTACGAAACACGGAACGTAAATAATCGTTCAGCATAGATTCTGATTAGAATCTTTTATGTGCACGGCGAAAGACTAAACTCTGATGAATTTTTCATTTGAATTTGATCAATTTAAAATAGTGGGCTAAAATATGAAAATTTGTACTTTTTTCTGCTAATTATAAAGAATCGGTTTGGCGGATCGTCGCACAAAACTGACAAACACTAGTGCTTGTCGGAATTCATCGAATGGCTTTTAAATTTTTGAAATCAGACCAATAGCTTTTGAGAAAACGACAAAAGATAAACAATCAGCTCAATTACAAACACATACACGCATATACTTTTTCCAAATTTGGTCTCATTCGATTCAGAATGACTTGAAACGTCCAGAAAACAAAAATAGCAAATCGGATTTTTTCGCGAAAACATAGATTTCTCCTTCGGGAAGCTAAAAAATATTATGGAAATCTCACATAAGAAGTTACATAACAAGAGAACAAAAATAATTTGTATCAATTTGTACTAGCGATGTTTCGAAATTGTGTTATATGTTCGTTCAAGACATAGTTGAGTGTATATTAAAAAAACATGTTATTATATTTGTACAATAGTCCAGTTATTTAAGCTTAAATCAGGTAAGAATCTCGGAATTCGAGATACCGAGCTGTATGTCTGCAAATACTTGTATTTTGCACCCTAAAAGTTGTCTCAAAACCTACATATGGTAAGGCGTACGCAACATATGTATAGGTTTTGAGACAACTTTTAGGGTGCAAAATACAGATTTACAGCTGGGTATCTCGAATCCGAGGTGAACTTACTATAATGGCAAAAATTATTTATTGTCGAGTATGAATAGAAATAGCTTCTCCTATCTATTGAAATAGCCATTCTTTTATCAATTTTCATTAATAAGTTTTCAGTTTATTAAGAATACTTTGTTTTATATTAATATGAATGTATACATTTATACTATTATAAATTGGTTAGAATTATAATTACGTTTGTACTTTCTATCACCAAGAGCTACAGTTTGTAATATAAATAAATAAATAAATTGATCGAATATCAGAAATTGCTTTGAACTTTTTAACTTTCCGTAGGGCAAGTTATAGTAATCGCAAAAAAATCGCAAATGAAAATTTTTATATATCTTTACGTTTCAAAGGTTTCTGAACATTTTGGCATACCTTAGAAAAAATGGATGTATGTGTGTGTGTGTATGTATGTATGTGCGTGTGTGTATGTATGTGCGGATACAAATTTTCGTCGACGATTTCGGGTACACGGATCAACCGATTTGAATAATTCAAAAAACATTCGATTCGTATTGGTAAGGAGACGTGCTGATTAGTTTTTGGCGAAGGCAGGTCTAGCCGTTCCGAAGATACGAGGCAAAAAGTGCCGAAAACGGTAACTCAGTTTTTAAGAGAACGGAGCGTCCGATTTGGATAATTCAAGAAACATTTTATTTGTATTGACTAAATGAAAACCTGTTCAAATTTTTGGAAATGCAGGTCCAACGACTTTGGAGATATGGAGGAAAAAGTAAAAAAATGAGCCATTTTGCGGTCAAAAATGAACATTAGACATATGCACATCAAATTATCAGATATTTTATAGAGATTTTAACAATAAGTATAAATTTTGTTTACATTCCTATGGGTTTCGTACTAATGTTTACGCGTTAGACGGCGACGTGGCGCTTACGCGCTTCGATATTTCATCTTTATGCAGCTAAAGCAGTACGATTGCTTTGAAAAAAAGTTCAGAGATTCCAAAATATTTCAAAATAAATGATTTAAGATAGAATGATTTAATATTGTTCGAAATTTTATTAAAAGTTTCAAATCATTGATCAACTCTTATTGATTATTTTTATTATTCGAATTTTGAATTGCGGTACGGGAAGTTCCAGCAATTTGCCTTAAGGCACGATGCCCTAATTGCCTTAAGACAGAATTCCACTTACAGCTAGTTAAAGTTGGAATTCGAATTGAAACCGTTCCTGACTATTCGGAGCGCGAGGTTTGGATCTCCACTAAATCGTCTCGTAATCGCGCCACTAGCGCCACGAGTCGTCGTGTCGTTCGCCCAGTACTGCTTTACTACATTCGCAGCCCCTGGCCAGTAGACATACAATAACCATCGTAGAAGTGTGTGGTCGCGTGAGATGCTTTTTAAGTCGCGTAATATAGAATCAGCTTATTAGCAATTGGAAGTGGTTTGACATCATATTTTGTGACATTGTAGATAACTTAAACGTGTTTACAGTTATTTTCATTAAGTGACAGTGTTTAGTTCCAATACTATTGACAATAAATACATTATGTACGATTTTGTGTCTAAAGCAGATTAGGTATGTACAGATTATATTTAATTAAATTATCGTTGTTGTGCTTTCGGTGGCTAGTAATAATGATTCCAACAAATCGGTAATATGAAATAATTATATTTTTATTAATATTTTATCGTGTTCAATGGGCGTAACACTTGGCAAGTAACCCTCTAATAGGCTAATTCACCAATAACCAGGTCTGACCATGGATCTATTTGTGGTCTTGCAGTAATTAAACTTTTGTCAAATCATTTCACCTGAAAATTGAATGAATTACTCCAATTCAAAATATAACATGAGAAATTTACTTTCAATTAATGTTGCTTAGTGATCGGTAAAAATTCAATAACTTGAACAAATATATCACTAATAAACCACTTAAGATAATTAAAAAAAGGAGACGCCAATAATATTTGAATATTTTTTTGGTTTATGCGTTGTCCTGTTTTTAAATCGATTCTTAAAGTCACTTCGATGTTAATGTTTTAGGTCAAATTATAATTCGGTTTACTTCTGAGTTACGAGCGTTATATTTTAATAGTAAAATCAATTTTTGTATCTGCATATTTTCAAGGCCGTTTCTAGTATATCTTCAGTTTGATCAATGGTTGTTAAGTCACATGCAAATTTTTGAAGGTCCTTTAATTTTATTGTTAAACTTCTAACTTATAAACTGAATGACTAAACAAAAGTTATTTTATTTGTTCCTTCAAACACATAGTAGACACACAGAAATATGAATCATGAATTATATAATTTCATATGAGTTTAATTCGTTTGTATACCAACACACGTTTGTATAGTATATATTATATAATATACTATATATATGTATATATATATATGTATATATATAATTTATAATATATTAAATATTACACAATAATAATAATATAGTCAAATAAGAACCATGTTTGATAACATCTATTTAATTCCAAGAATATTTGTGCCATTAAGTTATAATGCATATTCGTTTCAAAAGCAAGCAGAACTTTAGATCATTTTAAAATCATTGTAGAAAAAGGCAATCAATTTTTTTACTATCATTTTTTCTATAATTTATTTATCAACATTACAAGAGTACAGGAAATAAGTAAAAACAACTAGTCGTGTATGGCATCGGGCCTTAAGGCAAATT